CCTAGGTTTGCTGAAACCATAGGTGGCTATGTTCACTCCTCAGACTACACTCTAATGTGCTTTATTTGATTCTCATTAAGCATACCAAAGGGACGTGGTGGCTCAGTGACTAAGACACTGAGCTTGTCGATCAGAAAGGACGGCAGTTTGGTGGTTTGAATCCCTAGCACTGCGTAATGGAATGAGCTCTTGTTACTTGTCCCAGCTTCTGCCAACCTAGCAGTTCGAAAGCATGTAAAAATGCAAGTAGAAAAATAGGGACCACCTTTGGTGGGAAGGTAACAGCCTTTCGTGTGCCTTCGGTGTTTAGTCATGCCAGCCACATGACCATGGAGACATCTTTGAGTACCACCCCCTAGAGCTGGAAATGACTAGCATGCATGTATGAGGGGAACTTTTACCTTTACCTAAGCATACCAAGTGAATGTAGCCACTAACCTCATTAAGTATACCAAGAAAATATAGCCACTAACCTTTAGAAACTTATGGACATAATAGACTTATTCCACACTTAACATCTAACACCTAATGTTTCCTTGTTTACCTGCTTGTCTTCAGTCTGCTACTAGTGTAAAGCCTCACCTTACTCCGGACCCTAGTTGTACTCTTGATTTAGTTATTTCAGCCCTTACTTATTTTTAGCACTTGAAGGTGTCCGTCACCCCGCCCCCCACTCAAATTACAGCAAGGACAGGAGAGAATTTTAATTCCACTTTTGGTGATCTCCTTAGCTACATAAAAAGATATGTGCGAGATAGAATATTGTCATGTATGAGAAAATCAGGTGCACAAGATTTTGACTAAAGGAGCCCCTATTTTCCTCTGTAATTTGAACACTACAGTAGTTTCTTCAAAGAATAAGCCCTGGGGGCTCAGTGCCATAGGCATCCATTTCTAAGCACAATGATGCAACAAAGATGAAATCTGTGCTTTGATGTCATGATGCAAGTTCTACCTCTTTGCACTTTCCTTGTGCCACAATGTTGCACTTAAGTATGTGTGTGGCAGAGTTCATGTTGTGCCATTACAAGTCATATTAGATGACCCCCCCCTCCCTATTGACCACTAGCATTCAGAGTCATACTTCTCGGGGTCAGGGGAGAATAAACTGGGAATAATAATTGGCTTAGTGGTAAAGCAAGGTGGAAATGGCTATTTTTATTTATTTATTTTACTTCTGACTATCATATAGTCAGTTTTGACAACTTTTTGCTTTTAAAATGATGTTAACCCTACATTATTTATATAATAGCTATAGCACTTAGACTTATATACCACTTGATAGTGCTTTATAGCCCTCTCTAAGCGGTTTACAGAGTCAGCATATTGCCCCCAACAATCTGGGTCTTCATTTTACCCACCTCGGAAGGATGGAAGGCTGAGTCAACCTCGAGCCTGGTGGGATTTGAACTGCCAAATTGTAGGCAGCTGGCTGCAGAAGTAGCTTGCAGTACTGCACTCTAACCACCGCACCACAGAAACTCCTAATGTTAACTCATGCCTAGAAATGGTGAGAAAGCAACACTATCTTACATATTTTTTGCTTCGAAACGGCAGGAAAAAACACCAGCAATTTCCAAGAGTTTAGGCTGTCCGTCTTTAGATTTGCAGGTTGTCCACCCTTGCCTTAAATGAACCTGAACTCCAACTGAACTGATAGCTTTCTCTCTTTCCTCTCAGAATTGGCACTGCTGTTATTTATTTGAGGGCTTGGACATTCCACATTATCGCAATAGACAAACACACAGCATTAGGGGTACAAACACTGTGGAATGTACCCTAAATAACAGATTCTGATGGTACAATAGGGCTGACGTCCTGCATGAGTCAGATGGGAGCAGCTGTTAATGTGGGAGAATGACAAAACCTGAACACTAATCCTATCCATGACATTTGAACTTAAAGACCCCTTGTGTAATCTTTTGGCATGAGTTTCAAAACCAATGGCTCATAGACCACACAGCACTGTTGAGATGGACTAGGGCTTCTGTTTTTCTGCGAAAGCTGATCAATGCATTCAGGTAGCAGCTATGTCGACCACTGTATCAGCCACAAAGGATATTGGCTACAAAATATCTTAAGACGAGTGTGTGAATTGTATTGGGAAAAGAATGGATTTAAGAGAATGATAAGGACTGGAACCTTCTAGGTCTTCTAATTACATTTGCAAACAAATCCTTCTTACAAATCCATTCAGATGTTTTATTAAGGCTATGGAAATCCAGAGTCAATTTTTTTTGTTCCAACTGCAAAACTGGAAATCTTTGTTGTTTTCCATATATGGATATGGGCATTATTAGTTTAATTGGTAATCCAGAAGGCTGTATTTTACAGAAGAGTATATGTGAGTATATGTGTATGGTTAATTTGCTAAAAAGTTGGGAAGAGTGTTTAACTCCAAAAAGGAGACAAACAATTTCAGAGTTTTACAAAAGCAACACCATCACAATTATCTATTCTCCTTGACTTTGGATAGAGGCTACACTTGTTCAATGGAAAGGAAAGGAATTTACCATCAACCCAGAAATATTATATTGTATTTCTAGTGATTACTACGTAGACATTTTTAGTGACCAATATTGGATATAATTTCTGGATTCCTGGTGTCATATCATTTCTAATCCTAATTTGCCTTGCAGGATTGTAGTACAGGTAGTTTTTGATTTACAACAGTTTGCTTAGTGACCATTTGAAGTCACGACACTGAAAAGTATTTTATGGTTGTTTTTCACACTTATGACCATTGCAGCACCTCCATGGTCACATGATCAGAATTCAAATCCTTGGCAAATGACTCATATGTATGCAGTGTCTTAGGGTCATGTGATCATCTTTTGTGACTTCTGACAAATAAAATGAATGGGAAAGCCAGATTCACTTTACAACAGTGGTGGGATTCAATTTTTGTTACTACCGGTTCTGTGGGTGTGGCTTGGTGGGCGAGGCTAGGTGGGCATGGCCACGTGACTGGGTGGGCATGGCTTGTTTTTTTTTTTTTGCAGCCACCTCCCACCCATTTTTTGAGCCTTCTGGGCCTCAGGCAAGCCTCCTGGGGGCTGTTTTTGCTTCCAGGTGGCTGCCCTGGGGCACAGGAAGAAAAAAAAAATGGAGCATAGGAGGGGCACACAGCACCCCCCCTCCCAGCTCTGTTTTGAGGCCTTCCTGGTGTCAGAGGAGCCTCTGGCGTTTTTGCTCCTTGAAGGCTCCCCTGGGGCTCTGGAAGAAAAAAAACGGAGCATAGGCTGCGCCCCACCCTCCATTTTTTGCCTTCCTGGGCCTCAGCAAGGGGAATCCCGGCACAGCTGATATATGAACAGCTGATTGTCGAGAGGGAAAAAAGAAATACCTTAAAAGGCAAGCGTCAGACGGGCGGGGTGAGAATTGGGCGGCCGGGGCAAATGAGCCAGCGGCGACCAGGCAACCGGGTTGGGGGCATGGCCAGCCAGAACTTACTACCAGTTCGGCGACCCACGCCAAATCCTTGCTACCGTTCGCCCGAACCGGTCCCGGTGCAAACTTCCTGAGTACCACCACTGCTTTACAACCATGTTGCTAACTTAACTGCAGCAATTCACTTAACAACCGTGACAAGAAAGGTTGTAAAACGGGGCAAAATTCACTGAACAACTGTCTGGTTTAGCAACAGAAATATCAGTCTCAATTGTGGTGGTAAATAGAGGACCATCACCATAACCCACCGGACAAGGCAGGCAGAAAAATCCGACAGTTTAACAAAGTAATTGAAGCCAAAAGCATTTCACATTCCTGCTGTGTGCAGAACACCACTCTTAACTCTTCTCACTTAAAACAAAAACGACGAAGTTTACGGAGGACTCGCCATTTGTTCAAGTTCATTTTTTTTTTTAAATGGCCATTTGGCAACATTTTTCTTCTCTATCCCACGCACTCTCTTCCCGTGTAACCTTCGACCACAGAACTCTAGAGAAACGAAACGGGTCCTCTTGATCCTTTGAAGACTGGACCTTCATCTCACGCCCCAAAACTTCTCCCTTCCGAGCTAAAGATGCCAAAGACCGCGCGCGGCACCTTCGCACAAAAAAACCTCGCTTTCCGAAAACTTGGGTGATTTGCAAAAGTAGCGCGCGGGGGAGACGGCGTGCCGACGGCCGCGTTTCTAACAAAGGCGAAAGTTTAGGAAAGCATCGCTCCTCGGCCGCTCCCGGGCCGATTTCACCCGAAGTTCCCAGCCGCGAAGACTGGCAAGAAGGCGCCCTCCTCTGCCGCCGGTGTCACCCGACCTGGGGTCAGATACCAGCATCGGAGCGAGGAAAGAAGGGGCGGGCCCAGGCTCTGATGATGTCAGCTTGAGAAGAGAAAGGGAGCGAGCGAGTACGCAGGAGGAGGAGGAGGAGGGAGAGCGGCTGTTCCGGGTCAGACACTGGAATGGGAGGAAAAAAAACACCAACCACCCTTCCCAAAGGTGCCTCAGGCTCCAGCCAGCAGCCAGCCCAGCGCCTTCGGAAGCCAGCCCGGGACTTGCGAGTTCGCACTGCCACCGGTGCAACCAGAAGCTTCCGGTAAGAAGCAATCGGAGGAAGATTTCTTCAGCCCCTTGTCTTCTTTGCTCCCCGAGCAATTGCCGCTTGGCTCTTTCGGCGACTGCACAAGGCGCTGAAAGGGGGAGAAAGTGCCTCCCTCAGCTGCCCGTCCTCCTCGGATCGATTTCAGAAGCCGCCTTCCTTCTGCCTCTCGGGGACGAATTGCGAGGACGAGGCGGAGCAGAGGGCGCCAGGGAAGGGCGGCCGTGGGGAGACGGGTTCAGAGCCCGGCGTCGGCCAGGTTGCTAAGGGGCGGGCTCGGCCAGCCACCCCCTCGGCCCCGTGGGTCTCCCAGGGCAGACGCGGAACGCGCCCTTCAGACGAGGAGCAGAGCCGAAAAGAGCCGGCGGCGCGCGCCTCCCCTGCCCTGCGCGGCTTCGGCGGGTGTCTGGCAGGCGGAGGGAGGCGGGCGAGCGGGCGGGCGTTGTTGCGCTGCCGCCGCCGCTTCGCCGCCGCTATGTTTCATTGCATCCCGCTGTGGCGGTGCAACCGTCATGTGGAGGTGATCGATAAGCGCCACTGCTCGCTGGCCGCCGTGCCGGAGGAAATCTACCGCTACAGCCGCAGCTTAGAAGAACTCCTGCTGGACGCCAACCAGCTGCGAGAATTGCCCAAGGTGAGGAAGGAGGGGAAGGATTGGGGAGTGTGGGGGTGGGGGTGGGTGGGAGTGGGAAGCAACGAGGACCGGGGAGGCGAAGAAAGCGCGCGGGGTGGGGTGGGGTGGGGGGAAGAGAAAGGCGGACTTTCCTCGCGAGGTCGTCGGTGGCCACCGCTTAGCCGCCTTTCTCCCTTTTCCCAGCTGGCAACCGAGGCTTCCACGGGGCCGCTTGAGAAGTTTTGTTCCTGGGTGAGGGGAGGGGGGAGTATGAGAGGGTGAAGCCGACCACCCTGGAGTAGTTTTCCGCCTCTGCCTCTCCCTCAGGCTGCTTACTCCCACCACCCCTTTTTACTTGGGGCGTTTAGGGAAGCCCGTGCCTTTACGTGGCCTTAAGTCGCTCTTCGGGCTCTACCCTAACCCCCAGAGACGCGCGCTCTCTTGTCTGACGTGGAAACTTCGATCAGCCCTACAGCAAAAGCCCCCCCCCCTCCCCAGTTTATTCGACCAGTTGGCAGGAAGCGAGTCCGTGCGTGCGTGTGGAGGATTTGGGGTGTGTGGGTGAGCGGCAGGGAAAAGTCTTGCTTTGGCGCCACTCTTCCTGACAACGTCCCCCAATCTTCGGGGCTTGCAAGTCCTGAGTTTTCCCTGAGTTTGGCAGCCTGCCTTGCCTTGGGAAAACGGCGAGGCTTCGGAGCCCTGGCCAGCCTCAAAACAGCTGATGCATCGGAGCCCCTGTAGGGAAGGTGGGGGTGGGGGTGGTACGTGGGATCGGGCCTCGAGTGTGGTACACCTGAGCTGTTCCGGAGGCCTCTCTTCCCGGAGTGAAGGGAAGGGGGCTGTTTTGGACGATTCCCACTGAGATCTCTCCCTCTCTTCCTTCCTTGGTACCAAGAACTCAAAGGTGCGGAATACATCCAACACATCTTCTTCCTCCTGGTTGCCCCACAACAACAGCTCTGTGAGGTGGGTTGGTCTGAGAGAGAATGACTGGCCCAAAGTCACCAAAGTTGGACTTCATGGCTAAAGCAGCACTTGAACTCACAAACTCCCATTTTCTACCCTGGTGCCTGAACCACTAGACCAAATGGATTCAGTGGTGTCCATTCAGTGTCCGATTGGACAAAGGGAATCGGGGTGTTTATGGGTTTGTCTGTTCCAGCGACTGCTAAGTCAGGATTTCAGCCAAATGTAATCCTGCCATGGATGCTTAGGGCCGTGAGTTTTATATATTTTTCTTTGAATACTTTGCATGTGTGTGGAGAGAAAAATGGGTGTGTAAACTATTATTTTATGCATGGGACATAGCAAACACTATTTATATTCCTTTCTAGTGCTTTATTTGGATTTGAGTGGGGCACTCACTCCAGGAGACTTGGGGTGGGTGGGTTATGTCACATTTTAAAAATGCACAGATCCCATAGCTTGTATTTTCCATATAGCAGCTCAAACAGCATTTTGTGGGGAGATGAGTATCAAATCTTGCTTTGGATGTGTGAGTAGTGTAGCATGTACAGTGAGGTGGTGCTTTACTAATTATTCCATAGTTTTTAAGCTGGTTTTTAGATGTGCCCACAAAACATTCTTTATGACCTCAATCCTGCTTCCTCCCACAGCTAATGGCTTTCATTATTATAGTTACTTCCCATGTTCTTTATAGAAATTTGGAAAGTGAATGCCAGCACAGCTATATTGTCTTGCATTTCTGTTTTTAAAACCTCTGACACAAATTGGGCAAACTGGTGTGGCAGGGTAGAATGATTAGCTGCTTAGGCAGCTAAGCAGTTTGCAGTGTGGTTTCTATGAGAAAAGGAAAAGTTGTCGGTATGGTAGGATTAAAGTCCAACATAGTTAATGGCAAGGGTGAAATCTGTAGCAGATATAGTGAAGGAAAAGTACAAGTGTTCAGCATCATAGACAAGATTAAGGGAAGTACAGGTGGATAATAATATTTGAATAAAAATGGCTATTGAGGCAATTAAAAACTTTACATTACTTGAGCTGGTGTTAGAAAAAAAAATAGTGAAAAGATTAAATTGGGAATGAAGTAAAAAAAGGTAGCAGACCTCTGGGAATGTGAGGATATTTTGGATAATGGAAACCTAGACTTTAAGAAAAAAAAATCCAGAAATTGAGGAGATGTCTTCTATATACTGTACTGAGAAAGAATTGGTTTGGGAAGGCTGTCTTATCTTTGTGTTTTTTTTCTTTCATGTTTATTTGTGTTCTTTCTTTCCTGTTTATTTGTATTACTGCCTTAGGCTAATACTGAACTCAAGAGGTAACTTGGAATATCTGTTAGGTATTTCTGTCATTTTGTTGGCCTGGGCACACCTGTATGCTAATAATATAGTATATGTGTTTTGAACTTAGCATGATTCTAAGCTACCCATTGAATGCAAATCTTAAATGTAATTAAAAGAAAAAAACATTGCTTTCAATTATCTAGTAGAATGACATTAAATCAGTTTCCCAAAGGATAATCTGTAAAAGCAGAATATCCAGATCCATTACCATCTATAGGAAAAAGTGGCATATGATATAAATTTATTTTCATCTTAAGTGTCGAAGTGAGCTGTTAATTAGATAAGGGGTCTGAAAATAAAATTGCAGCTTAACTTTTGTGAGTCTTTCCAATTTTGTGTTGTATTTTTAAAAATTAATACAAGATTTAATTTATCGTATTTAGTTTTGTGGCCTATGCCAAACTATGGATAAGGCAGATAGTTTTTGTAAGGCAATGCTAGAGTAATTTCAGTAACTTAATTTTGAAAACAAAAACAAAAACCAGTATTATATTATGTTAAGGCAGTTATGAAGCAGACCATATTAGCTCAAATGTTGCCTGACTACTAAGCAGATGAATCAAATGAAGAGGGAAATAATGATGTTTGTCTGGTCAATGTCCAGGCAGCAACATTTTGATGTAGTACCATTTTTGAATATCTGCAAAAATTAAATGTAACTTAAAGAACAGGTACCCTACATTGTAGTGCTATACTTGTGGAATTAGGAATTTTGTCCAGACATTGTCATTTACAGATACACAGGCTGAATCAGCACTCCTAAAATCTTATCATCTTTATCTAGCTACCATTGTACTTAGAAAAAAAAATACTTAAACATCAGAAAAAAATACTTAGACATCGCTAGTTTTATCAAAAGATTGATGGTATCTGGATGCATATTTACTAGAATAAAAGCAGAAACAAAACTGACAAATCAAAAATAATATGTTGGATGTTGAGGGTTTTTTCCCTTGCTATTTTTACAGCACTTTGGCAGGGTTTTAGTGATTTGTGGTGGTTTATCCTGTGGATCTATTTCTGCAGGAGGACAACTAGCAGTTAAAATATATGGTTACCAAATTTTTACTCAAGTTTTTTTTCTTGCAATAGCGGAGGGGGATTTGCAAACATTGCACTTTAATTTTCAATATTCTAAAATATTGGTGTGATTTATACAGCATTGCCTGTTTACAACAGAGTTTCAGCTACAACAGCAAAATATCATCAGGGAAATTCAACTCTGGTAAAATGTCTAAGTTAACATGTAATTCTGTTTTGCAGTTGGATAGCAAATTAGGATAAGACTCCATGCCTGGAAATGTGTGTTTGTGCTAACTCTGATGTAGATTCTATTAATATGTTCATGAAGCAAGAAAAAAGTATATTAAGTGACACAGTGATATTTTGTGTAGAGATGAGTGTATTTTGAAAGCTCTCTCAAAAAATCTATTTAAATATTCCACCATTTCTGAAATCCTAATAATAAAGCCATGTGAAACAGGTGGAAACTGATATATGTAGAAATCTACACAGTAGGTATCACCTAAGCTGACAATTTAACACAAATAAATAAAGCAGACTTTAATGTGAAGCCTAGATTGCTTTTTTTTTAAATACTCCATCCTTCATAGAAATGAAGTTGGGGGTGAACTTGGGAACTGAATGGTAAACAGGCAGAAAGCAAAGACAAATCATTCTCGCCCTTTATGGATGCTTAGAGAAGGGTATCATAGCATGGTAGCTCTTCTTCATTATAGTTACCATAAAATGCAATTTTAATAAATAGCTTGATTGACCTTAGGAATGTGATACATTCCTTATTTTTATTTCTTTTATCAAAAGTCACCTTGCCCAGTTCACTGTTATTCCCGTCTTGCAGAAGTTTATGATAATTTGTCAAAAATTGAAAGTGATTCCAGAGCGGTGGAGATAATTGAATCTAACTCACATTCCAACTCTTAATCCAAACACATTATCCATTTGGAAAATATGAAAAAAAAAACCAACCAGTGTAATTCCATTTAAGAAGTATTCATAAAACATTCTAAGTGCTGGCACAGGGAATTTGCATACTGTGATAACTGTTGCTGTTACAGCTTCATTTTGGTTTGTCACAGTTTGCGTTTTGTCTCCTCTGCCAACAGTTTTCTCTGTTCTAGTGGAGTAAAACAATGATTTGTTCAGTTAATTAAGCATCTGTTGGAGATAGTAATTTTTTTTGAAATTACGTTCTTGATCTTCAGTTCCTGGTATGATATTTTTATGTCCTCTTCAGTGTGTAAGCTGAAAACTAGCATAGAGCAGGTGGTTATTGTTAGGGATAACATTGTTTACCCGAACTGGTTTGGGTAAAAATAATAAATATGGTATCATGGTTTGTTAGTTAAAGTGTGTGTAACTTTAACAGCAAGAATGTAATTAAGGGTGTGGTTGTAAAAGCACTATATAAGAAGCGAGGCAAATGCAGCTCTCTCTCTCTCTGGCTTACTGATCCCTAATTACTTGATGGATTGATGACTGCGTTCTTTCTGGAAAGGGGAGAGAACAAGGAGTGTTGATATTTCTCAATGGAGAGAAAATAAAGATTGGACTGATTTATTGTAAGTGAACTGACATTGGCTATTCAACACGGACTTTGCAAATAGAGAGTATCCCCGACAAGACTTGACTGAAATTGATATATGACTAATGGACCGTTATTTTGACTATGCTAAAATTCTTAAATGGAATAAA